TTAACTTGAACTTACTTAAACTTTTTCAGAACATATTTTCAGAGCTTGTTTTTTTCAGAGTATTATTGTTATTATTATTATTATTATTATTATTATTATTATTAATATTATTAAAATATTATTATTATTAAAGAATATTATTATTATTATTGAACTTAATTTATTAAGAATATTATTGTTTTATTTTATTATTTATTATTATTACTATTATAATAATATTTAATTATTAATATATTATTATTTTATTCAGAATACTATAAGAATATTTATTTAAAAGTTTTATTCAAAATATGTTATTTAGAGCTTATTCTTGAACTACTCAGAACTTACTGAACTTACTTGAACTTTCTTGAAATCAGCTTTACTTGAACTTTACTTGAAAAATTAGCTTTATTTGAACAAAGTAAACATATTTCACACCAAAATCTAACATTAGACGAACAAAAGATTTTTATTCAAATCTAAAGGATGTTTATGTCTCTTTCAAAAAAGTTAAAAGTTCACTTGCGGTTGTTCGAGGACCATCTGAATATTGTGTTTATAAAGCTAAAACAAAGTCTATCAAATGAAGATAGTTTTTTTCTGCATTAGCCCTTCAGTAGTTTAATACCTTTGTGGCTGGATAGCTCAGATGGTTAGAGCGTCAAAAAAGTTTAAACCCACAGTGTTGTACAATACAAGTTCAAATCCTGCCAGCGCCAAGTCAGCGCTAGAGTAGTATCTCGGTACGCAAAAATGTTGGTCAATAACGGACGCTACTTTGGATAAGTCATAATGACTATTTGTGGCTGTGCCTATGCCATGGCAACAACATTTTCGGATATAAGAACATTGTATAGAAAAATAAAGCATGAAAAAAAAAATTAAAAAAAATAAAAAAGTATTTTTAAAATAATAATACCAACTTTTTAAAAAAAAATTTTCAAGACTGTTTGTATAATTGATTGTACTGAAGTTTATATTGCAAAAAATTAATTTTATTTTGACATCAAGTTTGGTTCAGTTATAAACATAGAGATACCATTAAATTTGTAACTGCTATATAATAAAAAACAGCAAACTAGATTGCTGAGGCAATTAGTTTAATATCTGCTAGGTGGAGTGGTTGTGTATCAGATAGATTAATATATCAAAACGAATTTTTATCAGAAGTTTAAACCTCACACTTATAAACTTAATGCTAATACCAAATTCTTACTCCAGCTGTTTGGTAACAATTGTAATTTTTTTATGTATTATAATTTTACTATATCTTTAGGTTACTATCTCTTTACTTAATAGAACTTATTGCCGAACTTAATTGTGTTATTAGTAGTGTTAGGGCTTATTCAAGCGTTTTTGAAACGGAACCATTGGCTGCCATTCCAACCGCTGGTGGCGAGAAAGATTCGCAGCAATTTGTTTTATAAGAAAACGTGAACGAACGTGTATGCAAATGTCTAAAGTAAGTAAACTTCAAATTAAGTAATGTTAAGTATGTTTGACAGACTGACTTTTAATTGAAAATTACATTGCATCAAGCTCTCCTCTATTTTGATCTTTAACATTTATTTCATTTAAAAAAATCATTATATAATTTCAAAATTTTATACTTAACAACGTGCCAGCGTAGCCGAGGGGATAGCGTGCCGAACCTCTCAACAAGTAAGCCGTGATTTGAGTCCTACCACCGGCGACTATTCCACTTTTAATTTCTTTCGATTATTTTAAATAAAAAATACTTTTGATGATTTATAGAGATTATATCCAAACATATGTAACGACATTATACACTTTAAACAAACGAAAAAAATTTTAAAAAAAGCTAAAAGATTTTAAATCTCAAAAAACCAGGAAAAAAAATATCTTGTCTATGTGTCATGATTGGAATATTCTCATATCAATAATGTGCTCAGGTAATTATTCCTAAGAAGATGTGGATGGTCTGAAAAAAAAATTGTCTGAAACTTAATAAAGAAAAAGCTTAGTAAGACAGTCCGGCTACTCCAGATAGCGCATTTATGGAGGAAAAAAAAGAAGCCTGTAGCTAGAAAAAGCTTTCAAACTTTCTTTTAACAAAATAAAAGTTTTTTTTCTTGCATTTTTTTGTTACTAATAAATATATGCTGCAGCTGTTTATAAAAATGTTTTTTTTTTTTTTTTTTTTTTTTTTGATTTTACATTTGTTGGTCGTATTACAACTATATATTGCCAAAAAAAAAAAAGATAATAAAACAAAACTTTCACAGTTATAAAATAAGGTATCTGAAAGAAGATCAAGGGATCTTGTTGTCAGAACCTTAAATAAGTTCAAACAAGCATTAACAGTATCAAATTTTTACAAATTTCATATATTTTATAATCCAAATATATATTATATAATCCAATGGAGATCCCGCGGATCTACTCACCAATATTTTATATAAACGTATACGTTAAGTAAAAAAATATAAAATCAATAAAATAAGTTAGAATAAACTTTTTACAAATGTAAATAAGAAAAGGCAAAGTTATTAATTCATATTATTAATAACTAGCTGTCATGACCCGTAAAATACGGGTCTTTAGAATATTGATGCACACTTTATCCGCGTGCTTACAGTTCATAAGAACTATTATCCGGTTTATAACGCAAGAAAATCTCAATCAAATGAAAACATCTAAATGATAACTTTTAATGTCCTAGATACGAAGATTAAACTTATTGATTGCGTAAACACTAACTCTAACATAAATGGCATTTGCAAGACACTTCTTGCAACGAAAAAACAAAATTTTGAAATTTGTGAACGATTTTTTTTCTCTCGATAGCGAAGTTGGTTCTGTGTCAAAATGCGAGGATCAAACTTGCCTCAATGGACGCAATGGTTGCCAAGAGTATCGTGTCAAACAGGCTCGAAAGCGCACTACTAATATTAAGTTCAGTAATATTAAAGAGATAACATAATACGTCATCAAATGAAAAAATTAGGGTTTTTAATTTACTTTAAAAAAAACGAAAAGTAATGGGTAGTTTGAAGTCAAAATTGGGCAAAACAATTTTATTCCAAAGGTGTGGTTTTTAAATTTATTTAAGTTTGTTTGACAGAAAGGTTCATTTAAAAAAACAGTATTTCTCAAATTGTATTTGTTAATGGGTTTTGGAGTAAAAATATCTTTGAAGACAATTTTTCTAATGCTTTAAGATGCTTACTACGTATTTCAAGAAAAACGCTATTAAAAAAAGTTATTAGGAGAAACTCTTTGTAAAACCTTTTTTAAAACGAATAATTTTAATGAATTTTTCCAGAACTCTTAAAAAATATGTATTCAATACGTTTGTAGACATCTAAACTAGCTTATTTTGTAAAAAAGTCAAAGTAGATTTTTTGATTAGCTTAAGGCGATTTGAAAAACGGCTGCAGTATGGATGATACAACGAATATGTTGAAATAAGAAAATTTGGCACAAAAAATAAAAGCTTTTAACAAAAGCCAATTAGCCACAAAAATTAAAGTAATTATAGTTCAGAGAAAAGTGTAGCATATTGGTGTTTGCATTTATTATATATTAAACAAGTTAAATAAATCATACATTAAATAAATCATCTTTTATCAAAAAACTAATTATTTTTAAACATTGTTGAGTATATATATATATATATATATATATATATATATATATATATATATATATATATATATATATATATATATATATATATATATATATATATATATATGTATATACTATATATTTTAACGATTAGATTTGTTGTTTAAATGTATAAATGCTTTTTGAATATTCTTATTATATATCATCCTAATTTCAAAATAATGATTTATTTTTTTCATAGAAAAAGTGGTTTAGTTTATTGTTTTATAGTTCAGAGGAAATATTGAAACAAAAACATAGAATCTTTTGTTAAATAAAAATAACATTGAAATAAGAAAAAAATTAATTTTTTTATTAATATAAATTCTTAAAACAAGAAAAAAATACATAATTTTAAGAATATAAATTCTTGAAATAAGAAAAAAAATCTTATTTTAAGAATAAAATTTCTTGAAACAAGAAATAATATTCTTACGTGGCAGACAAGTGATTTTTTTCTTGTTTTAAGACTTTTTTTGCTATTTCACTACTATTTGCACCTACAACTCTTACTTTATGTGACTCTTGCTTATTTTTTATCAAACTTTCCATTATATTTTGAACAATTTTTTGAAACAATATTTAACACTATTTTCAAATATTTGGCAATTTGTTTGATAAAAGTATGGGTGAAACTGAAATGTTTAATGCAGAAGTTCCCATTGCGCATTATGCTATTTTACTGCCATCAATTTTTTATTTTCAATGGCTTTTTACAAAAGTTAAAAAAGAAACTTGTTTATTATTTTAAAAAAGTGAAGTCAATAGAAAAATGCAGCTAAGCAAACAAAGCAAACAATAGTATATTTTAAATAACACTCAAGTGTTTTCATGTCTTTAACGTTAAATAAAAGTTTGTCTTTTGTTAAATCCGCGTTTTTTGCATAATTGTGATTAATGTTTCTTTAATTTAAACAACAATCAGGAAAAAAACCAGGATACACTATAATTGAAAACAAAAGTTCGGACCATTATCAGCCCATTTAAAAAAAAATTACAAAATGTTATTTTTTTTTAAAATCAGATTTACCTCGCGTTGGAAGTCAAAACACTTAGAAACTATATGGAGCATTTATCGGGGTACTTTGCCGCTTAAGAACAAATTAAATGTCAATACTTTTTGAAATTTTATTTTGTAATTGTACTTTTTGTATGTTTGTACCAAATTTGGTTTTTTGTGTATTCGCATTTTGAAATTTTTTTACACAAACTATTATAATCAGCTGATGCGTAATAACAATTTTGATTAACATTGTAATGCAGTAAATAATATTTTACTCTTGTAAATTTATAATATATATGATTTTTAAACCGGTATTATCTTTATTGCCATTATTTATACTACAGAAATTTAAAAAAATATAATAATTAAGATAAAATAGACTTAC